TAAGTCCATTAATGAAAGAGTTTGGTCTACGATTGTGAATGGTTTGACATCCCCGGTTATTGTTGAAAATGAAGTGTCTAGACAAAACTGATTGCTGATTGGACCACGATTGAGTTAACACTTGCAAATTATAACTCTAAAGCCATTCATGCCCTGTTTAATGTTATAAATGTTAATCAAATGAAAATCATAGCCATGTTGTAAATGTTAATCAAATGAAAGTCATACCAACTGCGAACTTTCCAAGGATGCTTGGGATAGGCTTCAAGTAAAAAATGAAGGTACTAGTGCTGTTAAATGAAATAGACTTAGAAGACTTGTGATTGACTTTGAAAATTTGGTTATGCATGAAGATGAGACTATCACGGATTTTTATGGTAGAGTTTGTGATGTGTCTAATGAATGTTTTGCCTTGGGAAAAACATGTTCTAACACTGAACTTGTCGGGAAATTTCTTTGCTCTCTTCCTAGGAGATTCATGTCAAAAGTGACTACCATTGAAGAATGTCGTGATGTGGATGCTATAGACATTGATGAACTCGTAGGCTCTCTTCAGAGCTTTAAGCTGAATTTGAAATGATGGGACAATCGAAAACTAAGCAAAGGTTTGGCTCTCAAACATGAGGTACATTCTAACTTTTTTGATAAAGTTGATTCATGCGGCTTGGATGATGAAAATCGTGTTTTACTTACAAAGAATTTTGCCAAGTTTTTAAAGAAAAAAACAGGGCAACCTTATAGGTGAATTCATGGTTGTTCTCAATACATTTAGATGCATTGGAATGCTGAGAAAGTCATGATGACTATACCAGAATATCATGAGCAATTCACTGTAGTTTCATAAATATGATATATAAGAGCACAAAACATTATAAAGCTGGTACAGTACGTAAAGCGAAATAATCTCAATTTTTAAGACACTCTATCCATGGTATTTAATAACCTTCACATCAAATACTTTGTGTTCTAATATTCTTTCATAACCTTGAAATGGTTCTCACCTATATATATCTATAGTATATGAGATATATTTATAGTATATGAGACATTCTATTTCTAATACAATTTGTAATAGGATTTTTATAATTTTATTTCTATTTACCATTCTATTGTTTAAGAAATAACTTTTTACATAGGAACAAATAGAAAAATGAGTTATAATATCCCAACACACATCATTTAGATTGACATTTTCTTAATATTTCCAATTCTTTCGTAAACATAAAATAAATTCATAAATATATATATATATATATATATATAATAGAAATAAATTAATTTGAAATTTACCTAATGGAATTCTTTGAATATAAAATGGAAGAAAGAAATTAAAAGTATAGCACTAAAGATTTCCAATTGCATGCAACAAATGTTGCCAACTAAAATGGGCTTCCACAGGATTGCATTTCGACTAAGACTCCTTGCATCCGATGATTGTTTAATCCTAAGATGGAAACAGTAAATTCAACCACAGAAGTTCACATCGGGAAACAACAGGAAAAAATAAATTTCGGATGAAGAGGAAAATGAAAAACAAAAGATTGCTTTTGAAACTTCTTTCAAAGCAAAGAATCAGCAGATGAAAAAAAAATGCAATAATATGAACAATGTCATATGAACAAGGCAATAAAAAAGATAAAAACTACTCACAAATAGAGGTTGAAAGTGAACGAAATAGAGACAACAACAGGAACAAAATATAATAGTAAAACAAAACAAACAGTAAACAAAGAAAAATAATACGCGCGATTTACCCTGGTTCACCCAATGTGGGCTACGTCCAGCTAAGTCAATATTATTAAAATATGCCTCACATCTCTCGTTTACAATGAATGAATTGCTCTCACACACATAACAAGAGAAAAGTATGTTTATATACTAGGTTACCCATTAATTCTGAAGTAGTCGACAACTCCAACAGAAAGTTCCAGTGGTTTTCAATCACAACTACATCTTTGCCAATGCCTCTTTTAACTTCATCTACAAAATCCTTCTTCATATTGGTTAAGGTCAATTCCTTCAAGGAAGTCACATTCTCCAACCCAATTGGCTTCTCTAGATGTTTGCAGCATCTAATCTCTAAATCTCTCAGGGCAAGCATGGCTCCTTCGTCGATAGTCCATTCTATCATCTCCGTTAGCATCCATAACTTCACAACCTAGAGTTGGGGAATGCACAGCTGCCACTACGACAATGCATCTGTTTCCCTAAGTAGGGATTTGCGAAAAGCTTGAGAACTTTCAGGTGTTCCAGCCCTTCTAGTGTCTGCATTGGGTCTTTTAATAGATGAGACCCTGACAATGTAAGGACTCTAAAATTATTGTTAAGTTTTCTTATGTCAAGTCGATTGAACATTCCGACCAAATATGAGTTTGACAGCTTTGTGTGACTAAACATGGATGGAAAATAGATAAGTGAAGGTTTATTATTGTCATCCACTGATTTCAACCGCAAAGACCGAAGACTGGTCTGTTGCGAAACCTAGTGAGCTATTTCTCGAATTGAGTTTGTGTGGCATGTCAATCCCAATTTCCTTATAAACCTCAACCTTTTCAACCAGTTAACTGTACGCCTGCTATCGCCTATTACTACACCCCATAAGGTTTGAAGATTCCTTGGAAACCCATTGTTAGTTATCGCAGTTTCAAGAAAAATACCGTGCATATAGAGATGCCGAAGGTTGTATGGCTTCCAGATAGACATAGGTAATGTGGTTATTGAAGTGTACTTCACATCTAAACTCTCTAGCCAGCGAAGATCACCTACTGACTCTGGAATTGAGTTTAGGAAAGCTCATCTCAGACCAATGTAACTTAGAAGCAACAGTTTTGTTTCGAGTGTTTGCGGTAGTGCTGGCTTGTAGACACCTTCTAGATCAAGCACGGTGAGGAATCCAAAACCTCTAGTGACTATCTTGTTCAGGAACTTTTCTACTGCATCCGAAGGTTTACCTCTCGTTCCGCTGTTAAGGATATATAAGAACTTAGATGTTGAACTTCTGTGTCTGAAAAAGAATGCTTCTCGATGTCAACATACTCCACAAGCCTTGCAATTAGAGAGATAGTATCATATACAGTACTTGGCACAAAACATGTTTTGGGGCTTCCATCTAACCTCACTCTTGCTACCTCGATCAAGTTCCTATCCCTCAGCTCATTAAGACAACTTTCTGCCAGGTCTTCAGGACAATTTTCCACCGCTCGTGGTTTCATCAATCCCTCAGCAATCCACAGTGGAAACAACCTTCTAATGGGGATTTCATATGATCTGGGGAAAATAAATAAACAAATAAGGCATGGAATTAGAGGATAAGGTAGGCCATGATAGCCCAAGGCCAAAATATTTGAAGGACTGGGTTTCTCTAAGGAAGCTGAGTGATTTTCTTCCCCTGCTGCATTAGCTCCTTGCTGAGTATAGTCTCTCATTCCAGCTTTCTTTTGTTTTCTTTGCTTGCTATTATCACTAACCGCTCTTTCTTCTTTTTTCTTTCCCTTTGTACCCTCAATCGCCTCTAACCATGCAGCAATGCAAAATTCTATATTAGACAAAAACAGCAATACTATTAATATATCATATTGATCACTGATTCTCTAGGTTGATCACTGCTTACTGCCGAAGAGTCCATGTCTTCTCTCCGTACTTTTGATAAACCCAACAATAATCATTGGTGTTGCAAGTTTTGAAAGCTGCGATCAATACTGTCTGGAAAACCAATTCAAACGCATGCCACAAGCACAACTCGTTGTCTTCTAAAGAGTAGGCCGTAATAGTATCAGGGCCTCCAAAATGCAACAGAAAAAATGGTGCCCAAAATGCAGTATGCTCACTATTGGCATCAGTAAAACCACCTTTCTCTTAGATATCTCCCAAGTCATTTAGGATTAAACCAAGGGCCATGGTTGCCACAGCATCAGCCAGCAATTAGGCTGACCAGACCACAGCTTTGATCCAAATTTTGGGAATATACTTCCTGTCGTTGCTTTGAAAAATTAGAAGCATTTGTGAGGTGAGGCCGAGGACAACAATGACCACAGCTCCCAATCCTTCCACAGTTTTCTTACTCCTGGGAGAAAAACCTTCATCATCATCCTCCTCTTCATCAAGATCAAGATGCATGAAAATTAATGAAAATGTGTACAATGTCATGGCAAAGTTTATACATATAGAAAAATAAAAAGGAAAAGGAAGTAGAAGATCAGTTACACATCCACCTGTGAGTATCATCGGAGAGGTTTCGGTTCTTACTATCTTCAACCTGAACTAGTTTTAAAGAAATAGGCACAAGATAAAATAAAGAAAGTCCATGTACAGTGCCTACATATGAAATTCGTAAACCATTGGTTTCATTTCAGTCATTAGTTATATCAGGTAAACCAGCAGGTTTAATTTTTTTGGTCTGTGTGAACGAAATGATAATATTCTTAATTGTACCATGATCAATTTTTTTCTTATGAAAAATATACCCTGTGAGTTTCTGGATATATCATTGCTGGTTTTTGGGGCAAGTGTTGAAGTTTCCAGGATGCTGCTCAGAAAATGGGTTGGAGTAGTTGGAGGATGACTTTCTTGAAAATAATAAAGGTGCTGGTAGGTAATGAACTTGTTTCAATACATTTTCTATACATTAGAATGGGTGGAGAACCCATTCCTTTAGTCAACTCTGTTGTCTATAGAAAAAAACAGGGCAACCTTAAAGGGGAATTTCATGACTTCAGTACATTTAGATAAAGTCATGATGACTTCACAAAAATATTATATATCATTAAATCAACGAAGGCCAATACATCCGTCCTCAATCACCAAAGTATGTCATTTAAAAACATTAAAACTTAAAATTGTAAGAAAGAATGTCCTGAGCCCACCAGCTCTGACTAAATTGCAGATATTAGCGAAGGAGTTACACGTACCACGACGTCTTTTTAGAGTCTCATATCTGATACAAAAAAAAAAAAAAATAGAAAAAGAAAAAGACAGAAAAGAGAAACCGAGATCGAGAATCCATGGCTATTGAAGCAGCCATTTGGCTTGCGGTAACAAACCTACATAATGCATGGACATATTCTACTTTGCCAATTGGTCCTATAGCCGATACAGCATGGAGACTGTTCATGGATAAGCTACGAGATTATCTGCAAATCTTAGAAGGTTCAGAGGATGAAAAAGGAAGGGCTCTCATAGTTGATGATGGGAAGATCAAGCCTCTGCAAGCAGTCTATCTGGCAGAGGACGCCATACACACCTTCCTCCTAAGTACAAATTTGCAGAAACAGAAAGTTTTTATTAAGTTTCCTTCTTTCTTGAGGTCATCCAAAGTGCAATTTCGTTTCAGCAACGAGATGAAAAAATGTTTGGATCAGCTGGCCGACTCGGTGCCTGTCGAGTTGCGCAAAAGAGCTTCTGATGAAAACCCTGAACACATTCTCAAAAGGTTGATGCTCCACTATGATATTAGCATAAAATATTGTGAAGTTTTGGATGAAAAGCTGCTTACAATTACTGCTTTTCATCAGATAAATAATGAAGAAGATATTGTTGATTTCGATTCTGAAGTTTCAGAATTATGTAGATTAATTTTGACTAGTGAGAAGCTTCTGATATCGGTGGTGGGTGTGGCAGGCTCTGGCAAGACAACTCTAGCGAAAAGAGTTTATAACCATTCAGAGATAAAGAAAATTTTCCACAACCGTGCTTGGGTTTGTGTTTCTCTGGATTTTAAAGAGAAAAATATTTTAGTTCAGCCATTGAAGCAGGTGACAGAGGTTAGAGATGAAGAGAAATTGCCACTGGAGAAATTGCAAGAGAAGCTTCGTAATTTATTAAACAGGCAGAGGTACTTAATTATCTTGGATGATGTCCATGCACCTGCTATATGGGAGAAACTCCAAGTGGTCTTTCCAAACTTATCGAATGGCAGCAGGGTGATCCTAACTATACGTGAACCTGATGTAGCCAACCATATTGATCCAGCCATTCCTCTTCTCCACGTATGTCTACTAACCGAGGATGAGAGTTGGAGTTTATTCTTGAAAATGGTCAGAAGAGACCCCAGAAGCTCAGTGTTTTCTGATCAGGGACAGATTCGGGAGAAAATCTTGCAAAAATGTGGAGGTCTGCCTATTGCAATATGTTTCTTGGCTGGCTTTTTGTCTAGCATAAAATTTAGCATTGATGCTTGGTTAGGGGTGATTGAGGATTCAGAGCAAAAGGAAAATGAAGAAGAAAGAGAGGTTAGTGATGATAGCAGGGGAATAAAAAAAATTGCTGGTGGAATAAGTGGTGAATAGGAGAAGAAAATCACTCAGCTTCCTTAGATGAACCCCATCCTTCAAATATTTTGGCTTTGGCCTATCATGGCCTACCTTCTCCTCTAAGGCCATGTCTCATATATTTATGTCTTTTCCCTAGATCATATGAAATCCCCATTAGAAGGTTGCTTCTACTATGGATTACTGAGGGATTGATTAGACTGCTTGAAGTCCCTTATGCAAATCCTAAAGATCAGGCAAGAAGCAATCTTGATCCTGAAGATCTTGCGGAAAGTTGTCTTAAAGAGCTGATGGATAGGAACTTGATCAAGGTAGCAAGTTGGAGGTCAGATGGAAGCCCTAAAAATGTTTTGTGGCAAGTACTCTATTTCCACTTGCTGAGAGAATGGTATATTTTCACGTCAATTCTAGCTCATATTCTACACCGAGATCGCCCTACTTTAACATCCGGAGGCTTATAGAATGTGTAGACATCAAGGAGAATTCTTATTCAGAAAGAGAAACTCAACATCTATGTTCTTATATATCCTTTAACCAAGGAAAGAAAGATAAACCTTCAGATGCAGTAGGAAAGTTCCTGAACAAGATAACCACTAGAGGTTTTGGATTGCTCACAGTGCTTGATCTTGAAGGTGTATTCAAACCAGCACTACCTCAAAAACTGGGAAAAAAACTGCCACTTCTAAGGTACATTGGTTTGAGACGAACTTTCCTAAACTCAATTCCAAAGTTAGTAGGTGATCTTCGCTGGCTACAGAGTTTAGATGTGAAGCACACTTCAATAACTGGTTTACCTAGTTCCATCTGAAAGGCAAAGAACCTTCGGCATCTCTATATGAACGACATTTTTCTTAAAGTTGCGATAACTGACAATGAGTTTCCATCTAATATTCAAAACTTATCGGGCTTACTCATAGGTGATAGCTTGCATACAATCAACTGGTTGAATAGGTTTAGGGGTGTTGATGCAGTGATGCCTTGCTGGAAATGCATCAAATATTCAAGTCTACAAGTTTGTGTTTGGAAAGCTGCTGAAGGTTACATGTAGCAGTGGTTCAACGTGCATGGGAGTGTTTTTGTGATAATTTGTTGCTTAGTTACTTAAGGGTATTTAAGTCAAGTTTATTATTTATAATATGACTGTAATATTAGTGGTTAGATTTGAGTTTAAAATTTGAAATGTCTGTTGCAGTTTGTGTAATTAGCAGAGAGTTGTTAAGTGTTTTATATTGCCTTTCTTCAATGAAAATGAGCAAGCGTTTTGAAAAAGTTATCGGGTGCTCTGTTTTATCTCTCTTAATGTTCTCTGGCTAAAACCTTCAATTGGTATTAGAGCTACCACAAAAAAACCAGAAACTTAGCATTGTAAACCATCGATCATACCTCCAAGATAACTTTTCAGTCTCAAAACGTTAACCTGCATTTGTTCTTCTTTCTTCTTGTGACAGACATGAAAAACAGGGACATGGCAACTCAATCTGCCTTGATGGCTCCTCCGGTATTCAATAGGGAACATTACCACATTTGGGCTGTAAAAATGAAAGCCTTTCTTCGTGGACAAGGACTGTGGCAGTACGTGGAAGAAAACAGGCAGCCACTTCCTCTTGGACAGAATCCTACGTTGAACCAAATGAGGCTGCATGAGGAAGAAACAGCCAAAGCACTAAGAGCTCTCTCTCACATACATGCAGCCGTGACTGACCTTGTATTTACAAGGATCATGGCATACGAAAACCCTAAAGAAGCATGGGATAAATTGAGAGAGGAGTACATGGGTAGCACTACAACAAGGAATATGCAGGTTCTCAATCTAAGGAGAGAATTTGAGATGCAAAAGATGCAGGAAACTGAAAAGTGAAGGATTATGTTGATAGACTGATGAATGTTGTCAACAAAATCAGGCTAATGGGAGTGGAGTTGACAGATCGTAGGATTGTGGAAAAGGTTTTGGTGAGTCTCCCGAAGAGATTTGAGTCCAAAATCTCTTCTTTAGAGGACTCTAAAGACATGACTCAGATCACATTGACTGAGCTTGTCCATGCTCTCCAAGCTCAAGAGCAAAGAAGGTTCTTGAGGCAAGAAGACACTAGTGAGGGTGCATTGGTTGCAAGCTTCAAAGGCAAACCCGCACAAGCACAAACAAGGAAGTATGCTAGAGATAGAAAAGGGAAAGAGAAGAGTAATAACCAGTGGGAAAGGCCTAGTGGAGTGAAAGAATTTCCAGCCTGCACTCATTGTAAAAAGAAAGGGCATCCGGAAAGAAGATGTTGGTTCAGACCAGGTATATAGTGCAAGAGTTGTAAGCAATTTAGGCATATTGAAAGGGTTTGTAAGAACAAAGGAAACCAACCAACACAGCAAACAAAAGTTGGAGAGGATCAGCAACAATGTCAAGACGCTGAACAGCTTTTTGGCCACTTGTTACACTGCACAAACCAGAAATGAAGCTTGGTTAATTGATAGTGGCTGCACCAATCACATGGCTGCATACCTACGAAATTTTGTTAGCCTGGACAGATCATATTGCTCCAGAGTCAAGATAGGAAATGGTGAATTCATGGAGGTCAAAGGCATGGGGGATGTTGCTGTCCAAACTTGGTCAGGTACAAAAATAATCTCTCATATGTTGTATGTGCTTAGAATTAGTCAAAATCTATTGAGTGTGGGACAAATGTTAGAGAGGGGTTATTCCTTACTCTTTGGAAACCAAGCATGTACCATATTAGATCCTAAAGGGGCTGAATTGATGAGTGTAAAGATGCTAGGGGAAAGCTTCCCAGTTGAGTGGAAAAACACCAATGATTTTGCCCTGTCAACTAGGCTAGAAGAGTCAGAAACTTGGCACAAAAGGCTTGGCCATTATCACTATAATGGCCTCAAAGAGTTTAAGAATGCAAACATGGTTCATGACCAGCCAGAAATTGAGAAAAGTACACTATGCAGTGCATGCCAAATTGGCAAATTGAGCAAACCTGCATTTCCTTCGGATCAGACCTGGAGAACAACAATGAAACTTCAACTGATTCATTCAGACGTTTATGGTCATATGCAAACAGAATCCTTGAGTGGAAGCAGGTATTTCATACTCTTTATGGATGATTATACACGGATGACATGGGTGTATTTTTTACAGCAGAAAAGTGAGGTCCCTGCAATGTTTAGAAAGTTTAAATTGCTGGTAGAAAATGAGGCTGGAACAAAGATCAAATCCTTTAGAAGTGACAATGGGATTGAGTACACTTCAAAGGAATTCAGTTCACTTTGTTCAAAAGCTAGTATTAGACATCAATTCACTGCTCCATACACTCCACAGCAAAATAGAGTAAGTAAAAGAAGAAGTAGGACCATCATGGTGATGGCTAGATGTATGTTGGCAGAGAAACAACTTCCTAAGAGATTCTGGGTTGAGGCTGTAAATACAGGAGTTTATGTCCTGATTAGGCTGCCAACCAAAGCAGTCAAGGGACAAACACCAGATGAGGCATGGACAGGAATTAAACTAGCAATTGGCTATTTGAGAGTGTTTGGAAGTGTGTGCCATGTGATGGTTCTAGTAGTGAAGAGAACCAAGCTGGATAATAAGGCTGAAGTTGGTATTTTCATTGGTTACAGCAACCAATCAAAAGGATTCAGAGTGTACATTCCATAAACAAAAAGAATTGTGATAACTAAGGATGTGAGAATAAATGAAAATGCAGTGTGGAATTGGGAGAGTAAGAAGATTGTTGCTGATTGTAAAATACAACAACCAACTAAAGATGCACTAGATGAACCTGAAACTGAAGAAGATGAAGAACCATCAGTTCGTGGAACCAGGACCTTGGCTGATGCTTATGCAAGGTGCAATGTGGCTGTGCTAGAACCTAAAACATATGTTGAAGCTGCTGGATCAGATGCTTGGAAGAATGCAATGCAGGAGGAGATCTCTATGATTGAGAATAACAACACTTGGAGGTTAGTTGAAAGACCTGAAAATAGAAGGATAATTCAGGTAAAGTGGATTTATAAATTAAAGCTCAATCTTGATGGTACAATCCACAAACACAAGGCTAGGCTTGTGGCAAAAGGATTTGCACAACAGCAAAGGGTGGATTACACTGATACATTTGCTCCGGTAGCTAGACATGACACTATAAGGTTGATCATTGCCATGGCAGCCCAATTTGGTTGGAAAATTTTCCAACTTGATGTCAAATCTGCTTTCCTAAATGGCTACTTGGAAGAAGAGATTTTTGTAGACCAACCCAAAGGCTACCAGGTGAAGGGTGAAGAAAGTAAGGTGTACATGCTGAAGAAGGCATTGTATGGCCTAAAACAGGCACCTAGGGCCTGATACAGCCACATAAACGATCACCTTAATAGCCTAGGCTATGCAAGAAGTCCAAATGAACATACTCTTTATGTTAAAGAAGCTGAGGGTGACTTAATTGTTGTGTCACTGTATGTGGATGATTTGCTGATGATAGGGAGCAATCCAGACCAGTTGAGCAAGTTCAAACAGTCCATGCAATCTGAATTTGAGATGACAGATTTGGGGGAGATGACATATTTCCTTGGTATGCAGATTTTTCAGTCCAAAAATGGAATATTTGTGTACCAGGAAAAGTATGCAAATGAGATTCTCATAAAATTTGGGATGGAGAATTGCAAACCTGCAAATACACCTTTAGTCTCTAACCTAAAACTGAGTAAGAATGATGGTGAGAAAAGAGTTGATGAGAGTATGTTTAGAGGTCTAGTGGGATGCTTGCTGTATTTAACAGCCACACGTCCAGACCTGATGTTTGTAGCTAGCTACCTTTCTAGATTTATGAGTTGTCCAAGTGAATCACATTATAGGGCAGCAAAGAGGGTGTTAAGGTATGTGAAAGGAACTTCAAACCTTGGCATTTGGTTTAAGAGGGTTGAAAAATTGGTTTTGCAGGGATACACAGACAGTGACTGGGGAGGTTCTTTAGATGACATGAAAAGTACCTCAGGGTATGTGTTTTACATTAATGAAGGGGCCATTAGTTGGT